GACTTGCACTGACTAAAGTGGGCACGCTCAGAGGAAGGGAGGTGGCGACGCACAGCAAGACGTGCAGCAGCATCGCGGGTCGCCCACTTGGAGCGAACGGCAGAGTCAGCATCAGCAGGTGGGGCAGGAACAGCGCCAGAGACAAAGTCAAAAAGAGAGACCTCATCTATCGCATCACACAGTAAGTACAGCTGCAGGTCTTCAATCCAGACGGCAAAGTCAATGGCCCTCCCCTCAGCGTCAAAAGTAAGAACATTGGGGGTGGCCATGGCAGCAGCTGGAAGTCTCACCGGGCTGGGAGAGTCGGGTAGGTCAGCAGCAGAAGAACACAGCTCAGGAACAGCAGCACGGCGGCTCGGGCGGCTCGGGCGGCTCGGGCGGCTCGGGCGGTTCGGGCGGCTTGGGCGGCGGCTCGGTCGCAGCTCAGCGGCGGCTCGGGCGGCGGCGGCTCGGCGGCGGCTCGGCTGCTGCTGGGCGGCTGGGCGGCGGCTCGGGCGGCTCCGGCTCGGCGGCGCAGGCGGCGGCGGCTCGGCGGCGGCCCGGGCGGCGGCTCAGGCGGCGGCGGCTCGGCGGCGGCTCGGCTGCTGCTGGGCGGCTCGGCGGGGCCGCGGAGCAGAGGGCGGCGGTGCCGCGTAGGAGAGGGCGGCGGGGCCGCGTAGCAGAGGGCGGCGGGGCCGCGTAGTAGAGGGCGGCGGAGCCGCGTAGCAGAGGGCGGCGGGGCCGCGATCGAGGGGCGGCGGGGCCGCGTAGCAGAGGGCGGCAGGGCCGCGTAGCAGAAGGCGGCGGGGCCGCGTAGCTGAGGGCGGCAGGGCCGCGACGTAGGGCGGCGGGCGGGCCTTCGAAGTAGGGCGGCGGGCGGGCCGGGACGTAGGGCGGCGGGGCCGCGACGTAGGGCGGCGGGCGGGCCGTCGAAGTAGGGCGGCGGGCGGGCCGGGACATAGGGCGGCGGGGCCGCGACGTAGGGCGGCGGGCGGGCCGTCGAAGTAGGGCGGCGGGCCACGACGTAGGGCGGCGGGGCCGTCGAAGTAGGGCGGCGGGCAGGCCGCGACTTAGGGCGGCGAGGCCGCGCGATAGGGCGGCGGGGCCGCAAGGTAGGGCGGCTCGACAGGCCGCTAGGGAGGGCGACACGACGGGTCGCTAAAAAAAAAGGACGCGCGCCTCGGGGCGCGCTTCGGTGGGCCCAAGAAACAGTCCCTAGTAGGGGACCTGCTCTGATTCCATGTGAAAGAGAGAACGAGAATGGAATGACTATGAAAGAAGTGAGTACAAATAGGAAACCCTAATTGGGTTGTACCCCCTATGGGATACCCCACTATAGCCTACACAATAGTATAAGCTATATAGTTCTGACACACTTCTGCGCCCTGATGGCTCCGAATTGAGAGGCACGACACATCCGCGCAACCGCACCGTCTGCCCCGAAGCTGCGCTGAGCCACCAACCGTTCCCGCTGCTCGAACTTGGAACGAACCGCTACCCCAAGCTATGAAGAGAAGTGAGAATGGAATGGATGAAGTATGAAACAGTTGGGTATAAGTACTAACCCTAATTGGGTTGTACCCCTTATGGGCTACCCCACTACAGCCTACACAAATGTATAAGCTATAATATTCTGAGAAGCTACACAAGGTGTACAGCGATTTCCTGAACGTGGGGCATTGCGGAGTCGAGGACGAAATGTACACGCTCACCTTCATCGACGCTGGAACGCGCTACGTGTGGGTTGTGAACGTGGAGTCACACGACAGAGCCTACGAGTTGTTTTGCCTCTGGCTGGCGCACGTAGAGCAACAGTCTGGGAAGAAGCTGAAAATCTGGCAATCTGACGGCGCGGCAGAATTCAGGAGCAACCAGATGCAAACCTACCTCACGCAAAAGGGGGTCGAGCACCACATTTCTCTCCCCTACGCCCACCAGCAGCAGGGCGTAGCTGAGCGGACGAACCGGACGCTAATGACGAAGGTGCGCGCAGTGATAAAGCAATCAAAATTGCCGCCGATCTACTGGACCTACGCAGTGCACCACGCCGTGCGGGTGCACAACCTACTTTCGACCACCGCCATCTCCGGCAATCTGTCCCCGCACGTCAAATGGATCAGGACCAAAGGGGATACCTCCATGCTGCGCGTATGGGGGTGCATGGTTCAATACCGCTCGCCGACTTCAACCATCGGCAAATTCGCCAGCCGCGCGCGCTGGAGGATCCATCTCAGCATCAGTCACGAGTACAAGGCATGGATCGTGCTGGACCTCCTCAGTCAGAAAATTGCTCACGCTTGCGACGTCATCTTCTACGAGAGCCTCTTCCTCGACCAGTTCCGCCGCGACGAAGAAACGAACGCGAATCGCGTCTACGCGAACGATGGGCACAGCTACGCAACGCCCGAAGACGAAGCCGCTGCAGCAATCTGGGAGAAGGACACGAGGGGCGAGTTCGTGTGGGAAGAACGACGCAGCAGCGACGACGACGACGACGATTCCTCAGGAGGAGGAATGGGCGCAGCAGGCGGAAGCGGAACAAGCGGAAGCGGAACAGGCGGAAGCAGCAGAGGCACAGCACCATCAGCGCCTCCTGAACCAGAAAGCAATGACGACGACGTACAGAAAGTCATCCCGCAAGGTCGCCACAACAACACTATCTCAGGACTGCAGCTGCTCGGGCTTCACACCACAACTTCGAAGGCGCCACGTGTCATCGAGCCCCGAAATCCGCACGAAGCTCTTTCTGGACCACACAGCAAGGAATGGCGCGAAGCAATGGATGCAGAGATCAAGGCGCTGGAGTCACGAGACACCTGGGTGCTAGTCGACCGCGCAGCAATCAAAGGCGCAAGAATCCTCTCGGGGAAGTGGGTCTTCCGCGTGAAAACCGCAGCGGACGGAACGATCGAGCGCTTCAAGGTGCGTTGGGTGGTTCGCGGCTACAATCAGAGGCATGGCATCGACTTCGACCAGATGTTCGCCCCAATTAGCCGCCATACCTCCGTTCGAATCTTGCTCGCCATTGCAGCTGCAATCTACCTACCACTCCGCCAGATCGACATGAAGAACGCGTTCCTGTACGCGTTAGTGGACGGCGTGATCTACGTGGAACAGCCGCACACCTACGGCGGAGGGGACTCGCGCGTGTGCCAACTGCGCAAGTCACTCTACGGGATCAAACAGGCTCCGAGGCTGTGGCAGCAGTACCTGCTCAACATCCTGCTTGAAATCGGATTCAAGCAGATGCTGCACGATCCAGGGATGTATCGTCGCGAATTCCACGGGGAATACATTCTCCTCACGGTGTACGTCGACGACCTGCTTTACACAGGCTCAAACAACGAGCTTCTCGAGCAATTCGAGAAGGCCTTGGCGAGGCACGTCGACATCACGTGCAACTACAAGGTGAACCAGTTTCTAGGCCTCAACATCTCCTACGCGCCTGAGGCCATTCATCTCTCAGCGGCTAAGTACGCAAAGGAGTTAGGGAAGCGGTTCAACATTTCACCTGCACCTCTCTCAACTCCCTACCGAACTCCCGGACCGAACCACAAACCCGACAACAAACCCCTATCCCCTGCTGGGATTCAGACTTACCAGCAGCAGTTGGGATGTCTCCTCTTTGCCTCTGTCACCTTCAGGCCAGACCTCTCGTACATCGCCAGTCAGCTGGCCCAGTACTCACGCAAACCAACGGCTGAGAATCTTCTGGATTGGGTTGCAGCGCGCCCTCCAGGTCTTCGTTTCAACGCCCAAGATTGGGTTGTGCTACTCAACTGCACCAACTCCATCCTTCAACCTCATCGGCTATGTGGACGCCGATCACGCAGCAGACCCCGATAATCGACAGTCCAGGACTGGCGTCCTGTTCCGACTCGAGCCAACAGGACCAATCTCCTGGAACTCGCAGAAGCAGGAGCTGGTTGCCCTGTCGTCAGCCGAAGCGGAATTCATCGCAGCAACCGCAGCAGTTCGCGAAGGCCTCTACTTATAGGAACTTTTGCAAGAGGCGAAGATTCCAGCTTCGCCCACATTTCGCCTTCACCGCGACAACCAGAGCGCGATTTGCATCGCGAATAAACCTGGCTTTGTCAACCGCACCAAGCACATTGCGCTGCGGTACTTCTTCGGGAAGGATGAGGTGGACAAGGGCAAGGTCAACTTGACCTACTGCCCGACCGGTGACATGGCAGCAGACTTTCTGACGAAGCGACTGCCACGCCAGCAGTATCAGCACTGCTCCGAACTCAGCGGCGTGGTCAAGCAGGTCAAGTCGAGCTATGGCCAGGAGTGAAGGGGGGTGTTACGAATAGTAATACTTGAATATTACTGTGCACTCCTCACCGTAGCAAAGCCAAAGCACGCACTATCGAGAGTGAAGACGAAAAGGCAGAACAAAGGCGAAGGGACAGACGGTTACGAGGAGCATCTGGAACGTCGGGCAGACAGCATCATGCACCAGTAGTGGCGAGGATTCTGCCCGAACAGTTACGTAACCACTCGGAGTCGCACGGTTGGATTTCGCTGCAATAAGGGAATGTACCCTTTAGAGTACATGGCTAGTTAGGTCGTTTCGAATTCCCGTGTACTCATATTTATATTCCTTGTACTGCACGTTCTTCATCATCTCAAAGCATTTTACATTCACTTTGCTATTGAGGTGAAGGGCCCACCAACATCACTTCTCTATGTGTGAACCTTCCTGAGTAGATCCTAGGCCACGATCAACTTTTGATCGCAGCATGGTATGAGAGTGGCTTAGGAATCCTTCGCACCGCCATCTCCGAAATCTGCGACATTCGGAAAGTGGCGTCCGGCACACGATCACCACCCTCTCCCACGTTTCTATCCTTGTATGTCTCCATCCCTCTTCTTGTTCAAGTGCATTGGTGCAAAAGTGTGCCTTCCATTTACATCAAAGCTTACGTACACACACTTATTCCCAAAACAACTTCCCTAGCCCAAAACCAACCCACAGCACTAAGACTAAACAGCCGTCCCTTAAGCCACCTAAACTATCACCACTTGGGGTTCTTCCCTGCAACATCGAGCCAGGAGCTCAGCTCAACAAATGGCTCAGGGTCAAACTTAGACGCGTCTGAGATGATCCCAGGGTGCACCCATGAAGCTCGCGAGGTGCGAGCGCCCGGCCCCGTGCTGCCCTTCTCTGCGTAGTACACACAGCTGCCTCGCGTGTCCCCTCCCCACGTGCTCCAACCGTCCGCGTTGAGCTCCTGGGGTAACGAGGGGGGGAGCGAAAAGGAGAGGGGAGCATAGCATGTTAAGAGTCAATCAAGAAACATGTTGGGAAGGGAAGGGAAGGAGAGTAGGTGGTTGGGTGATGAGGAGTTTACCAACGCAGAGCATGTCAGCACGGCTCACTCTCATGCCACCCTCCTTCCACAAAACCAAACTCCCGCCATCCACTCACAGCAGGCATGTACGTGTCGACGTAAACCACGCGAGCACAGTCCTTCCACGGCCGTCCCAAATATACATCTGAAACCCCCGGATCCGCGCTGATCTTGGAGTTCCGAATGACAATCCCCGTGGGGCCGTTGGTGTCGCGGCCCGACGCAGTGATGGTGACGAAGGAGTGGCTCGTGTGCAGCCGGATGTCAATGCTGTCGAGCACCACGGCCGCATCGCCGAATATGAAGTCGATCGTGCCGCCCACGTAGCAGTTCTTGTAGTACTGCCGCCCAGCGTCGACGTAGAGAGTGTCCTGATGGTTGGGAGGAGTGGGAAGAGGGGAGAATGCAGGGCATGAGATGAGAATACGAGACTGCAAGCCATGTAGGGCCCTTGCAGGCAAAAGTAACCAACTAATTTCTTCATGGTTTGCAGTCTTTCGTTCGCCTTCGAAATAATGGTTACATGGTTACACGGTTTCGCCACTGACCTGGAAGGCTTCGAACGCGCATTCGAAGAAGGCCGAAGCGTCCCCGCTCGCGCGCATCGCCACCGCCTGCTCGTTCTCGCGCCCCGCCGTGTTCACAAACTTCACGCCCAGCGCCACGAAGTTGTCGCGGTTCGCCCCAACGGTCGCGGATTTGAACGTCGTCCCCGACCCGCCGCCCATGCTCTTGCTGCCCGTGATGATCGTTTTATCCGGCCCGTCTCCCACGAAGATGATCCCCTCGTTATCGAATTGCACCACTTCGTCGTATGTTCCCGCTTTTATGTAGATAACGAAGCGGCCCTTAGCGGGAGCAGCGTCCACGGCGGATTTCACGCTGGAATACTGCTCCCCGCTGCCCACCACCGCATCGGGCTTCAGGCTCGGGGTGTACGAGCCACTGGATACGCCGCCGCTGCCGCCGCCGCCGCCACCTCCACCGCCGCGTCCGCCTCCTCTGCGGTTCTTCCCCTTCCCCGGATGGTGCCCCACCCCCTTTTTATGGTTTCCGCCGACCTTCTTCCCGTTCTTCCAGAGATGCTCGTGCCCGCCGATCCCCGGGGGATGGTTCCCGCCGCGCTTCTTCCCGTTCTTCCACAGGTGTGCGTGTCCGCCCACGCCCGGCGGGTGTCCGCCCTTTCTCCGCCCGTTATCCCAGAGGTCCGCGTGGTGCCCGACGCCGGGGGGGTGTCCGCCCTTGGATCTTAACTCCCGCCGGCGCGGGATCTCCGCGGGCGCGGGGAGCCCGAGCAGCCCGCGGCGCTTCTCCGCCCACTCCTGCGCGCCGTCGTGGTCCCCCTGCATGTGCGCCTGGAGCTCCTTCAGCTGTTCGTATAGCCCCGCCTCCAGCCACTCCGGGTGTCCGTCCCGCTCGCCGCCATTCTCCAGCGCCTGGCGGCCGCGCGACGAGCGCGCCGCGGCGGCGGCTTGCGACGTGAGGTCGATGGCGGCGACGAGCGTTGACCTGGTTAACGCGGACTCCGACTCGAGGTAGACGCCCGTGGGTGTGGAGAGCGCAGAGGGCGCCAATTCACGGTACGCCGAGAGGCAGTTGGAGAGCTGCGTCTGCGCGGTTTGCAGCCAGTACGGCAGGTCTATCACGTTGCTACCGGCGCTGATCGCGGAGGAAGACTTCTCGAGCTGCGCAAGCGCCGCGCTCACCTGCCGCCGCACAAGCACACGTTGATATATTAGAAAAAAAAAAAAAAGATTGAAGGACTGATATAGTTGTGAATTCGGCTGGAACTCGGGGAAAGCTAGAAGTTGGTCGCGTTGCGGATAGTGCAGTGCGGTGCCCTCACCATCAATTCCAGTAACTGTCGCGTACCTGGGTCAAACAGTCGTCGCTAACAGCGTCAATCTCCGCACTCCGGCCCGCGTTGGCTGTCTGAATCTCCTTCACCAGCTCCAGTCCCGCCGCCACCTTCGCGCGCGCCGACTCGATCATCGTAGCCGTCACCTGCTGGGGCGTCGCGGGCGCCGCCCCGAGGGAGCGGCGCGCGATGCGGTACTCCGAGACGCAGAGATCACGGTCCGTGGACGCGGCGCAGACGGGCGGGTGACGGACGACGTAGAAGTTGTCGATGGCGTGGAGCGCGGCGACGGAAGCGAGAGTCACGGCCACCGCGATTGTGATCCACTTGGGGCCGAATCTCGCAAGCACGGTGTCCGTGCCCATAGTAGCGTTCGCGAAAGACGACCTTTCAATCGGCCAAGCTCATGCAAGTTAGGGGATTTGTGACTCGCGAGGTGAAAACGTAGAACAGAAATCGTGACACTTAAGATCAGAATGACGGGATTTTGTAGCTGGTGAATTTGGATGAAGATGGACAAGGGGGGCAAGTACTGGATGGCGTAGTGCGAGTGAGAAATTGTGGTCGGAATTTGCAGCTCTGGGGCACGCAGAACCGGCCAATGATCATCGGTTTCTGCGACGGAGAACCCTTTTGCGACGTTCGCGATAGGAGATAAAGAGGGTAACAGTGTATCTGGAATTTCTGGTTGGAGAGGGTCTGCTCTCAGGGGGAGTCTCCCGAACCGCGTTCGTGGTTTGGCGATTCCGAATGGTACAGTGACGGCGTCGCGTTGCATTCTCCTGGAGTGCTATTGGAGCAAGAGTCAGGGTCAAGGGGGCAAGGGGGGATGCGCGGTAAGGGATTGGTCTGAGGCGTGAGGGGGGAGTCTTCGTCTGGAAGCTGCGGCTACCTCGCACAGGTCGGTGAGCGTCAAGAGTTGCAAACCCGCCAGCGGAGCGCGTCTACTGGACAAGAGGCGAGATCTCGGCCGTTGAAAGGAATGCTAAAGCTGTCATCGAAGGACACGAGCCTCGAGATGTGGTCTGAAAAAGCAGGGGGTGGTGCTGCACATGCCCTTCCCCAGCCTTGCGTGTGCGGCACCTCTCACTTACGGTCAAGCCATTAGCGCTTCGTCGTCTCACCCAGTCGTGAAGTCTCTTATGGAGTAGCGCACAACACTACATCAAGCTTCGGAAATCGGACCTTTGAATAGAGTTTGCTACCACACGAAATACTTCAGCCCTCATATATACAGCAAATCCAACCTTCAACCATCATCCTCAAAACATGATCTGTATTTTTTAAAACCAGGGTCTCATGTGTTGGGCTGAGTGCCCGTTAGGATCTTTGGTAGGGTTAATCTCTGGGTAGAATGATGTAGTAGCGGAAGCGTTAACAAAGAGATTCTGAACCACCTTGCGCTAGTATGTGAGGGCAAAGTAAGTTAATTAAAATTATAATTTTTAAACACACATTGTGCTTTTTAAAATTGTGTATTGTGAAAGCGAAGCTGCTTGTACTGCACAATTGGCATCGTCGAAGCGCGCTAAACGCCCTTCTCCAACTACAAAAACCATGGGTTGGAGTTCATTTCCCTCCACCCACGCTTCTCGATTTTCCAACGGCTCACTCAACATTTCTGCTCACGTAGTTTATCCCTCCGTCCAAGCCGGCTAGAACAAAATCGCTTCCTAGAGGCGAGTGACCTTCGACCTTACTCAACGATATTTTTAACTTCAATCGCTCAATGATGGCACCGACGCCGACACTTAACAACGGGAACTCGTCCAACCCCGCCTCCGACAACGACCGTAACACCCGCGATTTGGCGGGCGAACGCCGTAACAAGCGACAGGCAGAAGATGGACCGCCCGCCCCGACTGCAGTGGACGTGTTGCTGGGCGGGCTCGAGGTCAACAATTCGGCCAACGCCGAGCAGCACCCTTCGGCGCCAGTGGCGCCTGAGGTGCCTGTGGCGCTAGTGGCACCTGCGGCGCAAGTGGCGACGGCCGCGGGCGTGGCACACGCCACTGACGCTGAGCACACGCCAGCACCCGCGGCTGGACCGTCGCGTCAGCGCCAGAGGAGGCGGACGACGGTCTCCTCGTCTGACGCGACGACCGCCCCTGCGTTGACGCAGACGTTGACCCCGGACCAGGTCAACGCGCTGCTGTCCCTTCTACAGCAGCAGCCCGTCAGCGTTACAGCCGCGGAAACTGCACTACTCGCTGCATCTGTGTCGGCTAAAAAAGAAAATGCGAAAAAGGAAAAAGGCGCGCGAGGAGCAAGGACCATTCGGCACGACAACGACGCAGCAGCAGCAGCACCCCCTGCTCCAGCGGTCGACAACGACACCGACGACTCTGAAGATGAAGCCGGTGAGGCCCCAGTCAACAATGTTAATTTTAATGGCACGGAACACCTTCCCCCCCTCCCTTCTTCTAACCTCACCTTCTCGGCGGCAACATTCGTCAACGACTCCGTGCGAGAGCAAGCGGAGCTGCTGGAGGACTTACGCGCGTACCTGCTGCACGCGGAATATAAGGCGCAGCGCGGAGACCCAGCGGGCGGACTCGAACTCATCTCGCACGCTCTCAACCTCATCTCGGGGCGTTTCGAGGTGCTTCAAGTAGAGGACGCATCCGACTTCCGCACGGCGAAGCGCTTCAAGTTGTACCAGCAGAAGAGCCTGCTGATTTCTCGACCCTTCAAGCAGGCGGTCGCAGACATGGCGGCAATGGACCGTGCGGCAAGCGGATATGCTCCTGCCAACCGCGGCGGAAACAACGCGCCGTTGCCGTTTTTACCCAAGCGGGGCCCCCCGCCCACGGCCAATTGCCGCGGGTTTCGGGGCTCGTGCTTCCGCTACGGCCAGCCGGGCCACGTGGCAAGTGCCTGCCCTAGGAACGGGCACGGCGGCCAAGGACCCGCTCCGGTGGTGTAGGAGCGGGCCATGGGAATAGGCGCTTGAGCGCTAGGCACGGTGCACTCTTGAGTGCGAAAACCGTGGGCAACCCTAGGGGTTTGCGATGGCAAGAGGCCAGCCCTAGTGAACGGTAGGAATAGGCTTTGGGCCTAGGATAGGGAAGGGGAGCAACAACCCCCTCGGTCCCATGTAGTTCACCACTCAGTAGCATGATGCATGCTAGGAGAGCATTGCTATGTGTGTTGGTTGATTTGAAAAAAAAAAAAAAAAAACTACCTTCTTAAAAGCCTACTGTTTTGGCAAAGAGACTCTGAAACAATCAAGAGGAGGATCAGAAAGAGAGAGTGTGTGTGTGTGAGAGAGAGCGAGAGAGAGAGAGAGAGAGAGAGAGAGAGAGAGAGAGAGAGAAAGAGAAAGAACGAAATACAACATGGTGGGCACGCATGTCCAGGATTCTACGCACCAGCCCCCACGAACTACGAGTAAGAGAGAGCATGAAAGAGAGAGGGAGAGGGAGAGAGCGTGAGAGAGAGAGAGAGAGAGAGAGAGAGAGAGAGAGAGAGAGAGAGAGGGAGGGAGAGAGATGGAGAGAGAGAGAGAGAAAGAGAGAGAGAGAACAAGAGAGAATAAGAGAAACACAATGGACAAGTGTGTCCATGGCCATAGGCATCATCTCCCATGCAATAAGGGCAGGCACAACCACATCCTACCGAGTGCACGATGGGCAAAAAAAAAAAAAAAAAAAAAACTCAACCCGTATACCACTTGGCCTCCCATGCACAGGAGCACGACGGTGCGAGGCGGCAGGCTACGATGACCCGTACGAATTTGCCGTTACAGACAGAACTATTACACAGATGCGCGGTCATCTTCGCGCGACCTTTGCGTGGTGGAGCTCATGGTGCCCCAGCAGCCTCGTTCTCTCCGTCATCGCCAAGGGTTACTGGTTGCCATGGAGCCACGGCCCACCACAACCTTTCCACGATCGCAATCATGTCGGGGCGAACACGCATGCCACGTTCACACGTACCGCCATCCAAGAACTCATAGAGACGGGAGCGGCAGTTCCGATGGCCGCAACGGAGCTCAAGTGCATAAGTCCACTTAACGTGGTCGAGCAAAAAGACAAATGCAGGCTCATTCTTGATCTGAGAAAGGTCAACGCCAACTTGATTGTCCCCAAGTTCTAGTACGAGGGGCTCAGCCGTGTCACCGACCTGGCGCGCGTTGGGGACTGGATGTTCTCCATTGACCTCAAATCTGGTTACCATCACATCGACATCCACCCATCGTGCTGGAAGTTCCTTGGCTTCGAATTTGATAGGCGCACATACGCATTTCGTTCACTACCATTCGGCCTCGCGACGGCTCCTTTCGTCTTTACACAGCTCGTCAAGCAACTAGCTCGGCGTTGGCGAGAACAAGGCATCCGAGTCGTACCTTACGTGGATGACATCTTAATTCTCTGCCAGTCGAAAGCCGATGCGCAAGCAATCTGCCAGCAGGTGATATTGGACCTCAAAGAGGCAGGCCTTATGATAAACGCGAAGAAATCACAACTGTCACCATCGCAACATCTTCGATTCCTGGGCGTAGAACTAGAGACCGACACCGGCCGATTCTCCATCGGTCCCGACCGACGAGCCTCACTACATGCAACCATCCAGAACCTCCTGAGCGCAAGCAGGGCATGCCGACCAGTCCCGGTCCGCCACGTGGCCAGAATCACGGGCATGCTTGCATCGATGGGTGTCGCACTTGGCGCGACCGCTCGCGCATTCAGCCACGCTATGTTGCAAGTGATCAACGAAGCACCGTCTTGGAAAAGCAGCGTGGTTATCCCCCCATCTGCAGCAGAGGAGCTCCAATTTTGGCTCGAGGAGTTTGACCGTTTCAACGGCGCACCTTTTCACGTCAGGAACAGCTACGACGCAGTAATCCATGTGGATGCCAGCTCTCATGGTTGGGGCGCCACTCTGACCACATTTCCGGGCGGCCTCGAAGAAGCCAGCGCAACCATGTCAGAGCCGCTACAAGGAACGTCCAGCACGCGACGGGAGATTGAAGGCGTCCTTTGGGCGCTCCAAACATACGCGACCAAGATCAAGCAAAAACACGTTCTCGTGCGGGTGGACAACCAGGGCGTGTTCTTCATCCTTCGAAAAGGCGGCTCTCACAGCCCCGACCTCGCAACGGCATGCAAGAGCATCATCCGAACATGCATGGAGCTTGGCACGCGCTTGATCATCGAATGGATTCCGCGCGAGCTCAATACACACGCCGACGAACTTTAAAAAATGGTCGACCACGACGATTACGCGCTGAAAACGCCGTGGTTCCGCATCTTGGAACGTCGTTGGGGGCCCCACTCAATCGACCTCTTCACAAACTCCCGCAACATCCAACTGCCGCGCTACTGCACAAAGATTCCCCACCTAGAAGCCATCGCAGTTGATG